TGTGTGTGTGTGTGTGTGTGTGTGTGTGTGTGTGTGTGTGTGTGTGTGTGTGTGTGTGTGTGAGTATGCGTACGTGCGTGCGTGCGTGCTTCACTATTTTCAATAATTATCATACAAATCGCGACGTTAAATTAATGAAATTTAAAGACACCTAAATAATGCGAGATATATATGAGTTGTCTTTTGCATTTAACAGTAATCCTGCCTTTAGTTATGAAGTCTCAATGATTACCCAGTAAAAAATTTTTCATGCATGAATATGTATAAATATGTATAAAAACATACATAAATATTCCTAAACATGTATAATCATATGAAATATGTCGTTTTGTGTTGAAGTAATTACTTCAATCAGTGAGATATAATCGTTAGATTTCACCATCATGTTCAAAATAGAACAGAGCGAATGTTGGAATAATTCGTAAGATTTAATACGAGAATTTACAAGACATACGTAAGCGGAAATTTATTTGTATTATTATTAAAAGTTTCGATAATATGTTATGAATTATTTATATCACCAATTATGATTCCATTGAAATTCCATTCCTATTTTTGTCCTTATTTAAAATATGTAATTTATTTCGGCACTTATGGAGATGGGGAGCCAGCCTCGATGACCTTGACCATATATTGTTAAAGTCATGAATAATCTCCAACAAGTTTTAAATTGTTATTGATTAAAAAGTTATTAACAGTCAAAGTCAGTAATTATTTCTTTGCTTTACATGAAAAGTCAGATAACTCTGGGCAGCGAGAGAGGGGTGAACTAATTAAGGAAATAGGACTGTCCACGCGAAGCGACTCTCACCCCACCACCCCCCTGCCAAGGGGCGCACGACTTCTATAACTGTACTGTTGCACATGGGTTTCGACTTTCCACGTAAAGCAACTTTCATCCTACCTCTCTTGCTACCCAAAGTTATCTGACTTTTCATGTAAAGTAGAGAAATAATTACTAACTTTTACTGTTAATAATTTTTTATAACGAATAAGCGATGGCTAAAACTTGTTGGAGATTATTCAGGGTCATGACCTTGACAACATATGTGAAGATCAAGGTCATCGAGGCAGGCTCCCCCACCTACATATTTACCATTAAGGCATTTGATTTGAGGATATCAAAAGCACAAAGCGATATACTTTAGAACTTGTAAAAATTTTTTCTATTCTTAAAAACGTTTTATAATCCACTTAAACTCAATTTTTAATGGCCCTGTAGGAGATGGGGGAAAACTGGATCTTGGTGTGGGTGAACAGACCTACAATTTGAGGGGAGTAATGACCTATCTGAACACTTGGATCCCCTTAATAAAATCGACCTTGAATTCAAAATTCGGTCATTTTTTCACATTAATCGAGCTGTATTTTTTAAGGCGTATATCGTAGAACTAAATGAATTATTGCGTCGTGTTCAGCGACCAAAGAAACCACATTTCAAATCCGAATTATGCCTCCACAGTTCAAATCCGAATTATGCCACTTTTGCATCAAATCAAACATGTATTAAGAAAAATCGAAAATTTGATTTAAAAATCGTTCATTAGCGACCTTTAAATCTAAATATGTTTTATTAAAAATTTAGGGATGTTTTTTTGGTAAGAAATGGAAGCTTTTGAACTGAGAAGCCGATTAGAAAAAAAAATGTTTTTCTCGTCAGTCTAATATACAGGGTGCCCTAAAATTTTTTGCCAAACTCTCTTGTGTAGATAGAGCGGACTAAATTGAATCGAAACCCCTACCATTTTGCAATTTTCGCAATAGTTAACAAAATATTAATTAATTACTAAATGTCGCTGAATCTTGATCTTCAATAATTTTTTATTCAAATATTATCAACTTCACAGAAAGACAGCGAGAGACAAAAATTCTTTATTTTCGTCTCATAAAGTTCTGAGAATATTTTCAAAATTTTTTCAGAATTATTTTATACCGCATTTTCTCATGTTAGTAAAAATAGTTGCCAATAAGGAAATGCAGTACTAAAAAGTTGATAAAAAAATTCTTAGAGTTTTATAAAAAGAAAATAAACAATTTTTGTCTCTTTCAGTTTTTCTGTAAAGTTAATAATATTTCAGAAAAAAATTATTGAAGACCAGTAGAGTCGGGGCAATTTTTAGTAATTAATATATTGTCAACTATTGCCAAAATTGCAAAATGGTAGAGGACTTTTCGATTCAGTTCAGTCCGCTCTATCTACACAA